CTCTCTCTCTATATATCTCTCTCTCTCTCTCTCTCTCTCACCACACACACACACACACACTCTCTCTCTCTCAATATAAAAATAAATATATATATATATATATATATATATATATATATATATATATATATATATATATATATATATATATATATATATATATATATATATATATATATATATATATATATATATATATATATATATATATATATATATATGTTATGCATCCCCCAATTTTTATAGGTAAAAAATAGCAATTTAATTATAATTATTACTCTGTGATTTTATTTTGTGATATTTAGTTTGTGTTTACTTGGTTCTTTTGTTCCTGACTATAATAAAGAAAAATATACATGGTTTGCTTAGACTTCAGAATGTCGTTTCAAAGACTGAACCTAAAAAATAATCAGGTAATCAGGTAAAAACTATGAAGCCTGTTTAGTGATCTACCACTAGGGGGCGATCTGAATGGAGCCACATGCGGAGGACCATTGAATTTTCCAAACATTTCCAAACAGTAAAGACGTAAATCTCTGTTCATTAAAATCATGTAATCTTGCCAATTTGATTCGGTCTCCGAACCCCTTACTCGAAACCAAAGATTCGTAAAGGTTTCGAAGCTTCATGATGCTAGGCTAGGGAATGAATTTATGTTTTAGAGCTCTCTGGAGCATTTGTACTGAATGTTTGACGCCATCTGGTACAACACAACATTACTGAGCTGTTACCAGAAAAAATCCTGTGGTTTAACATTGGGTGGTGTGCTGGGTCATCCCCTCTTTGTTAGTGACTAGACCACTTGGGGTACCATGCCAATGGTCGATCCACAAGTAAATAAATATAATGAATGAAAATGCACTAATTGTGTGGCGTTTTATTTTGGGGTTGGGTTATCATGGTGCACTGAGTCTGCGAGCTATTTGGGATATTGGCCTGGTCCGATGAACGCCCTGGCTTGCAGTGGCCCAACAGTGAAAAAAGCTGCTTATTAGCATCAGTTGTAAATTTTCTTTCTTCAGGGATGAAAGCACATTTGTTGAGTACCTGTGGCTGGCAGTGATTCTGATCCTCTGGTGGCTTCTTCCCCCAGGAGCATCTCCATCAGCAGGCTGTCCACGCTGGCTCTGCCCAGGAGACGCATGAGCTGCAGCTGCTCTAGCATCTGCCAAGCCACACTCTGCAGTGTGGTCAGCAACAGCAGCAGCTCCCCGAATCGACCGCGCTGCTCACTCGTGGCCTCGTCCAGCAGCACCTGCGCCTGGAACCGCAGACGCCGCACAGCCTGAGCACACTGAAGACCAGGACAATCTGAAACACACACTGACATCAGTTAGAAATCAAGTATGACAGACACATTCATCTGAGAAAACATCTGTCAGTGAGTTAGGAAAATGATAAACACAATTTGTACCGGCCATTTTTTCTGTAATAGAGGAGAATATTATTAAAGTTGAAATTATAAAAAGTTATTAGCCCTCTTGTGATTTTTTTTAAAATAGTGTAAAGACAACTAAAGTCCACTAATCACTTTAACACAACAGGTTGACTCACTTTTTTAAGTAAAGCCAAATAATCACTTTAAAAGCAAGGAGTTTAATCACTTTTTAAGTTGATTATTTGCTTTAAAAGCAAGAAGTTTACTCACTTTTTAAGTAAAGTCAACTAATCGAGTTAAAAGCAACAAGTTAAATTACATTTTAGCAGTCAACTAATCAAGTTAAAAGAATTGAGTTCACTCACTTTTTAAGCAAAGTCAACTAATCACTTTAAAAGCAACAGGCTTGCTCACTTTTTAAGTAGTCGGATAACTGCTTTAAAAGCAATGAGTTTACTCACTTAAGTAGTCGATTAATCACTTTAAAAGCAAACAGTTTACTCACTTTTTAAGTAGTCAACTAATTGTTTTAAAAGTAACAAGTTTTTTTGTTGATCAATTGCTTTAAAAGCAAGGAGTTTACTCACATTTCAAATAAAATCAACTAATTGCTTTAAAAGCAACAGGTTTACTCACTTTTTTTATATAAAGTGAAATAATTGCTTAAAAAACAATGGGTTTACTCACTTATTAAGTAAAGTTAATTAATCGCTTTAAAAGCAACGAGTTTACTCACTTTTTAGTAGTCAACTAGTTGAGTTAAAATAAATAGGTTTACTCATTAAGTAGTTGATTAATCACCTTAAAAGCAACGAGTTTACTCAATTTTTAAATAGTCAACTAATTGGTTTAAAAGCCACGAGTTTACTCAAGTTTGAGTATTCTACTAATGGGTTTAAAAGAAACGGGTTTACTCACTTTTTAAGTAAAGTCAAGTAATCGCTTAAAAAGCAACAAGTTTAATCAGTTTTTAAGTAGTCGATTAATCGCTTTAAAAGCAACAAGTTTACTCAGTTTTTAAGTAGTCGATTAATCGCTTTAAAAGCAACAAGTTTACTCAGTTTTTAAGTAGTCGATTAATCGCTTTAAAAGCAACAAGTTTACTCAGTTTTTAAGTAGTCGATTAATCGCTTTAAAAGCAACAAGTTTACTCAGTTTTTAAGTAGTCGATTAATCGCTTTAAAAGCAACAAGTTTACTCAGTTTTTAAGTAGTCTATTAATCGCTTTAAAAGCAACAGGATTAAGCACTTTTAAAGTTAAGCCAACGAATCACTTTAAAAGCAATGAGTTTACTCACTTTTTACTAGTCAACTAATCAAATTAAAATAAATGGGTTTACTCATTAAGTTGTTGATTAATCGCTTTAAAAGCAACATGATTAAGCACTTTTTAAGTAAAGTCAACTAATTACTTTAAAAGCATCAGGTTTACTCACTCTTTAGTAGTCAAGTAATCAAGTTAAAATAAACAGGTTTACCCATTAAGTAGTCGATTAATCGCTTTAAAAGCAATGAGTTTGTTTACATTTTAGTAGTCAGCTAATTGAGTTAAAAGAAACAGGTTTACTCACTTTTTAAGTAGTCGATTAATAGCTTTAAAAGCCACGAGTTTACTCACTTTTTAAATAAAGTCAACTAATTGCTTTAAAAGCCACGAGTTTACTCAAGTTTGAGTATTCTACTAATTGGGTTAAAAGAAACGGGTTTACTCACTTTTTAAGTAAAGTCAAGTAATCGCTTTAAAAGCCACGCGTTTACTTACTTTTGAGTAGTCGATAAATCACTTTAAAAGCAACTAGATTAAGCACTTTTAAAGTTAAGCCAACAAATCACTTTAAAAGCCATGGGTTAACTCACTTTATAGCAGTCAACTAATCGAGTAAAAAAATAAAATGTACTCACTTTTTAAGTAAAGTCAACTGATCACTTTAAAAGCATCAGGTTTACTCACTCTTTACTAGTCAAGTAATCGAGTTACAATAAACGGGTTTACTCATTAAGTAGTCAATTTATCGCTTTAAAAGCAACGAGTTTGTTTACATTTTAGTAGTCAGCTAATTGAGTTAAAAGAAACAGGTTTACTCACTTTTTAAGTAGTCGATTAATCGCTTTAAAAGCCACGAGTTTACTCACTTTTGAGTAGTCAATTAATCACTTTAAAAGCAACAGGATTAAGCACTTTTAAAGTTAAGTCAACTAATCACTTTAACAGCAACGAGTTAACTCACTTTTTAGCAGTCAACTAATCAAGTTAAACAAATTTACTTAATTTACTTTTAAGTCAACTAATCACTTTAAAAGCAATGGGATTACTCACTTATTAAGTAGTCAATTAATTGCTTTAAAAGCAACAGGTTAACTCCCCTTGTACTTGTCAACTAATCGAATTAAAGTAAGCGGGTTTACTCATTAAGTAGTCGATTAATTGCTTTAAAAGCAACATGATTAAACACTTTTAAAGTTAAATCAACTAATCGCTTTAAAAGCAACGAATTAACTCACTTTCAGCAGTCAGCTAATCGAGTTAAAAGAATTGAATTTACTCTCTTTTTAAGTAAAGTCAACTAATCGCTTTAAAAGCAACAGGTTAAACAACTTCTGTTAAAACCAAAATAAACATTTGGAGTGAAAAAAAGTAATTAAAATAAGCCTTAACTTTGCACGTGTACAAAAAATGATCCAGCTCTGCTCAAACCAAAAGTAAATAAAGCACAGCAGTTCTTCCAGCCTGGCTCCAGTCTTATAATCAGACCTGCAGGCCAACAGGCAGAAACGTCCAACAATCCACTATCGGCACGTCCACGATATTAATAGATCCTCATAAAACTTCACGAAACCAGAGAAGACAGTACAACACAGCAGTGCCAGGAACAAGAGCAGACACTGC